GCCAGAGTCCATATAGCAGCCCCCAGATGCAGGGCAGTGTGGCCTAGCAGCCAACAGCGGAGGGGGTGTGGCGGCCCAGGTGGGGGGGCCCCTCTGACTCCACCGAGCCCTAACCCAGGGCTTTTAACTAATGGACTGGGCCAGCACTGGGTCAGCGAGGAATGCCACTGGATCACGCTGACCTCACACGGGTAGGAGATACCGAACTTCCTGAAGCTGCAGTCCATGAAGGGACCAAGGGCTCCGGGCTCCTCAGCGCAGGTAACTCCCTGGGATCCTGATGGCAACAGATCTTTGGGCCGGATCTCAGGATCTCTGGCTCCAGCAGGAAAGGGCTGAGACGGCTCCTCAGCTGGAGCCTCGCCCAAAGATCCTCCTTCTCTGGTGGTCAACCCAGCCTGAACCGGGCTGCTCCCTTTTATACTAGCATAGCGCTTGGAGTATGCCTAGTATGGTCTGAGAGGCAGGAACTCCTCCGTCCATAGTGTGGGGTTACCCCAGCCTAGTCCAGAAGGGGTTATGTATGCCTGTGGTGGGGCGGCTGCCTCACCTTCATGCGAGAAGGGGCTAGAATAGGCCAGAGCAGCTGCGCAGGCCGGCAGCCAATCAGGGCCGAGGGTAGAGCTGGCCAATCAGGGCTAGGCTAGGCCCTACATAAAGGCTGCACAGGAGCGCAGGCCTTCAAAGGGTGAAGGTCTGTCTCCTGTGCAAGGAGACTAGCACCTGGGACAGCGCAGTGCTAGGCAGGCTCTGGGGAGCTGAAGGGAACTCCAGCCCGCTACCTGCCAGGCTGCAGGCCCTGAGGGAAGGGCCTAACCGGTGCAAAGGGGCCGAAGGGAAAGTGGCCCAGGGAGAGAGACGCACAAGGGGAGAGGAGGAGGGCAGGAAGGCTGCCGCCAAAGGGTCCCTGGGTTGGGACCCAGTGTGGAGGGTGGGCCTGGGTCCCCCCCTTGCATGTGCATCCAGCCATTGGACATGGCAGTAGCGTACTGCACCAGACCCCTGACACAAAGGAGTGACCAGCGGGAGGTGGTGAGTCCCAACCCCATCACAATGCCCCATCACACAAGACCCCCCCCAAGATGGACCCCAAAAAGCAGTCCGTCTCCTCCCCTCCCAACCTAGAGAAGAAGTCTGCATTGGCCTGGGCCTTACCCAGTCGATGACATACGCAGAAGTCATATGGCTGGAGGGAGAAGTACCAACGCATTATCTGGGGATTTGTCTCCTTCATGCTGTGTAACCATCTGAGGGGTGCATGAGCAGTAATGAATGTGAAGGTGCTGCAAAGTAAATAATAACGTAGGGCATCAAAAGCCCAATTCATGGCCAAAGCCTCTTTCTCAATCATTGAATAATGGGTTTCTCTGGGAAACAACTTATGGCTCAGATACAAAATGGGGTGTTCTTCCCCGTCTACT